ATGTTGTCCTGGGGGGCGGCGGGGCCGGGGGCTGCCGAGGGAGCGGGGCCCTGCAGCGGCCTCCGCGGCCAAAATAACGATAATCCTTAAGAGCCATCCATTAAAAAAAATTAAAAAAGTGGTTGTTCCGTTTACCTTCGTGGCCTTGGTGATTTTTTTTATTAACTTACCTCGTTTTGGGGTAAGAGGAGCTGTATCACGCCCCTGGCCCTGAGCAATAGCCAGCATTCATCTTCCGCCTATGGCACCAAGGCTCATCTCTCCTTCCCCATCTTCACAGCATAAATGCGCTGCTAGAAAAGAAAATCAGCTGTTGGCATCAGAGTGCCTTCCCAAAAGGATGCTGTAATGTTGCTCATGCCTGAAGTCCTGTACTCACGGTTAGCATCAGTGAGCAATAAGTCATAGAAACACCTGATCTTGGGAAGTTCCATCCTCTACCTCTATTTTTGTCCCCACAAAATTTCCCCAGGGAGAAGATAACTTCACTTACTGTCCAGCAACAGGCCTAGCTGTGGGAAAGGAGCACTCGGAGTTTGCTGGCTGGATGTTTCCATTTCCAGGAGTGTTTTTGACGGAGGAGTTCATTAGTGAAGATGAAGAGTCAGAGATAGTCGGACTTATGGATCAGGATGACTGGAAACCATCACAGTCTGGCCGAAAGAAGCAGGTTTGATTTTAGAAATGCGTTTGTTCTCTGGAAAAGGATGTCTGTCTTCACAGTTAAAACCCCAAAGACATGTTTTATTATATGCTTTCTTTTGGAAACCTTTCCTGAAATCAATTGCAAGAATTATAATTAGAATTATCGTCTTCCAAAAGTGTCTTTATTGTAATTACAGTGAATAGCACCTGCTGACACACATATAGTCATTAAAAACCATAAAATATCAGAGGGAGACAAATGTTACTCTTTCTTTACAGATGATAAATCTAATCCAAAGTGGTTAATGCAACTTGATCGAGTCATTTTATAAAGTGGTGACCACACCCTCGGAAGAGATGAGCAGCACACCTTAAAAGCCTTGACCATCATCCCTGTAGAGGTCACAATCTCTCCAGAAAGACTTGTCCCAGATTTTCCTTAACATTATATTTTCCCCTTTTCTTTTTGACAGGACTACGGACCCAAAGTGAACTTTAAGAAGCAGAGGCTGAAAGCTGGTAGCTTCATCGGTTTGCCAAGTTTTAGTAAAAAGATTGTGGCACAAATGAAGGACTACTCAGTGCTAGATGGTTTCCTACCTGTTGAGCAATGTAATCTGGACTACATGCCAGAAAGAGGTTCCGCCATCGACCCACATTTTGATGACTGGTGGCTCTGGGGAGAGCGGCTGGTTAGCTTAAACTTGCTCTCAAAAACTGTGCTGTCCATGTCTTGTGATTCAGAGGACAGCATCCAATTATTTCCCGTTTTCAGTAAAGAAAAGGGGGAATTAAGTCCCTTTGGATGTCTTGCTCAGACGTCAGCACGCGAAAATTCAAGCAAACAGAGAATTAGCTGCACCTCGTCCCCAAGGCTTGTTCCAAGTAAAGAAGTGACTGTTGCCATTCCCTTACCCAGAAGGTCCCTGGTGGTGCTTTACGGTGACGCACGTTACAGGTGGAAACACGCGATCTACCGCAAGCACATAGAGCATCGCCGAGTCTGTGTCACGTTCAGAGAGCTCTCCGCAGAGTTCAGCACCGGAGGAAAGCACGAGGAGCTGGGGAAAGAACTGCTGGGAATAGCTCTGTCATTTCAAGGAAGACCAGTATGATCAACGGAGGAAGACGGAACTGCGTTTTGTTAGGATATTTGAGAAATAAAGTACAGAACTTTTACAACTTGATTTATTTTTGAAGTACATGTAAGAATTGGGTTATTACAAACATAAGGTCAATCAAATAGAAATGTAATAAATAAGAGGGTAAAAGGAAAGATTTGTTTCTTTGAAGATTCTCCTGGGCAATGGTGGTTCTTAAGCAAATTTAAAAATTAGCTGTGGTATTCATTAGCTATATTGTAACCAAATGCAAAAAGTAAATAGTCAATTTTAAAATACTTCAGTGAAATCAAGAAACTTGGGATCATTAAACTGATCCGAGTAAAACACCTCTTGGCATTGATTCAGCTCACGTCTCGGAGCAGATTTTAACCTTTTTTGACCCATACTCAGTCCTGTCACGCTGCTTTTAGAGCTGCCCTGTGCTGCTGGGACAGCACTATTTTCTCGCCCACTTTGGAGAGATCCCTTTGAGATCAGTCCTCCCCTGGAGGAGGGGACGCAAGCATCTCTCCACCGATGAAACAACACACAGAACTAATTAAAATAATTATCCTTTGCTGAAGATTCC